GTTTAATATAGCAAAGTAAATCAAACTCACATGATACAAGTAGATTTGAGATGGAGATTAGAAGCACCATTTCCAAATGCTACTTTTAAAGAAGCTGCAAACCAGTAGGCTTAAAATATAGAAAACTGAAAGTTTTAAATTCTGCCAATTTTTCGTAGAAACTTTAAATAAAAGAGGAGAATGGGTAGTTGACAAAATGAAGGGGAAAAACTTCAAACCATCAACTGAAATAAAATATAATGCTGTAAATGTGGATAGAGAAACCCTGTCAGATGCTTTTGGTTTGCACCCTGATGAAGATTTTGACAGCACTGCACGAGGAAATGATCTTGATGTGCTACCATTTCATTCTTTGCTGAATGTAGCCAATTTAAGCTGCTGGAATTTCTTGACATTCCTATGCTGGCATATCTGAGTCAGCATCTTGTTGCTGCAGCAGCTTAATTAAATTTGCCAGCTTGTGCCACAAGGACAGACATGTTCTCATATTCAGAAAGACAGCTGTGAAGCAGTATTGTTAAGAGTTGCAGACACAATACTGTTAGGTTTGAATAGCTCTCAAGACATTTTCTAGTGAGAAATCAATTTGCTGTAATACATTTCTCCCAAGATCAGCAGTTAATATTCATTTTGGTAACCTAAAATATGCTTATTTTTATACAGTTATTGGAGAAACTTTAGTAGCTAAATATGTCTTCTTTCACCTGTATTATTTTCAGAGCCAACCTAAGCATCCTAGTTTTAATTTCCAAAATTCTTTTTCCATTCACTAATCAGCTCTCTTGATTAGTTTCTTAATCCATTGTTTAGCTCTAAGAAAGTGTTCTTGAATATTTTGCTTTATTTTGGGGATCTGAATCTTTTTCTAACATACCGTTGCCATCTTTTGAAATTTTTACATTTATTCTAGTAATATAAAGTTGATTTAAAAGAAATCAGTGGTAGTTTTGGATGGAGCTTAACTCACCCTTTGTCTAGACACAGATCTAAATTAGTAATCCTCAGCCTTATAAGGCTGAAACACTTCCATTTTTTTTAACAAATATTTATAAGAAATAAGATGCCTCCTTTAGTAGACTGAAATGAAATTAGTAGGTAATAATTACCACAGATATAATTTTTAAAAATAATGTAATATCCTACATATATAAATGTGAAATAAAAGGAAAATAATTTATATCTTAACATGTAAATGCATTGACACCACTATACTGGAAGATATAATGAAGTAACAAGATGCACCAGTTAAATTGAATAAAATTGTATTTCAGGGAAGTAAGATAAACTATACCATAAAAGAATCACAGGAAAAACAAAAGGGAATAAAATGTACTGTTGGGATAAATAATAACAGACCAGACTTACTTGCATATGATAACAGAAAGCCTGAAAAGTTGTATAGGGCAGTACTACACATTACAGGCATCTAGTATTCCTCACCTCTAAATGCCTTTAATCCCCCCTCTCTTTTGTGACAATCCAGATGCACCTACAGGCTTCCAGAATGCCCTGAGGAAATTAACACTGTCATGATTGAGAACCACTGCTCTGGACATTTCTCCCTCCTTCCCTTACTCCCTCTTAATCCCTGATCATGATGTCCTTAGGATTCTTCTCAGTCACCTGTTTGGTATGTTCAGTTTGGAAACCTAAGATCTCCATAGTCACATTGTATTGATGTATTAATACATAATTTTCTTTCTTCTCCATTCACTTGTCTAATGCACTTGATCGGAAGGTTTTGGAGAGCAGAGATTGTACTACTGTACTCAATGTTGTATCTCCAGTACCCTGTATAGGCTGGCACATGGTAGTCACCCAAAAAATATTAATGAGTGGTGGGTGACAAATGAATCATCAGTTTCCCTTCATCTGTGGATTGTTGTTGTATAACTTGGAGCCAAGTCATAGGAATAGTTACTATGGTGGAAGTTCCACGATAGTAATCTTCATGTGAAAAGTACAGTTTCCTTGTAGAGGTGAAGGAAATGTAGTTTTTTGGGGGACTTCTAAATTATCTTATTAAAAATGTAGATTACAATAACTGAATAGCAAGAGTAGAGGCAGATTATGTACAAGATAAGACGTTTATATTCATACACCTTAATTGGGATGGTAAGGTGACTTTTTAAAATCAGGGTAGGATTTGTCAACCTAAATAACAAACAGAGAGAGGCTGTCTAAAAGAAAAGGGAAAAGAAAACAGAAATGTGCTTTATATAGGAATAGAGTATTGCAATGGGAATACACATGCCATTAAACTGTATGTATATTCAAGGAGGTAAAGGAAAACAAAGGTTTTTAAAGGCAAAATTAGGAGGATATACAATTGTTTTGAAATAATTATACTTGGCTACAAAGATCAATAGCAAGGGTAACACCAGTCCAAGATTAGACAAGCAGTTGCTGGGCAGATGTCCTTGCAGAAGTGTCTTGTGTCCAGCATACAATTGTGAGAACCCTCTCTTCATAGACTTCCCCAGCTTTGTTTGTCAGGATTTTTTAATATTAGTGACTCTGTTTTCATTCTGACAACTTTCACACATTTCATAAAGAAATACGGTAACAGGTTCTCTAGCTATTCACTGCTTTCTCTTATGGTACATTTCCTATAGATAATGCCAGGATTTTTCTTCTGCATGCATAAAAAGCATAAAGACATTTCCATCGACTCAGCCCTATACAAGAGTGATAGAGGATTGTACAACTTTTCTAAAACCACTAGTGCTTCCGTAAAATGTAATGCATAATGTTGGAATTTTCTTTTTAGTTCTTGAGATAAGTAAAGGAAACCAGAAAATTTAGAATCTCAGTGAATTTGTTAACTTCAAGTATGTGACTCCCTTTGTATCCTGTTCTTAGTGGATTTGGTCATTATATTAATTGATATACCTTACTGAAGAGTTTAAGCATTAAAAAAAAACTAGCATTATAATAAAATGTAAACACAAAATACTTGCATATTTTGCAAGTATAATTGGCAAGAATGATTTTCCCCTCTTCAGTAACAGGAAAAAAATTTCTAAATTGAATAACTAGTCTAATAAGTATGCCTCTTCCTCTCCATCAGGTAATCGAAGGTAAGTTTGCAATGTGATCCTATCCTGCAGAATACTTAATCTACACTAAATGGCTAAACATCAAAATGCAGGTGTCAGAGTTAGATAATAATTCAGAGTTTACTCTGTTAATCATGCTGTATTCTTCCAGTGATTGAGAATCATGAAATTCCATGATAGTAATCTTCATGTGAAAAGCACATATTTGTAAATTATATTTTTTTTTCCAGACGTATAGGAGAAAATTTGAATGCCTCAGCAAGTTCTGTAGAAAATGAGCCGGCAGTTAGTTCAGCAACTCAAGCAAAGGAAAAAGTTAAAACCACAATTGGAATGGTTCTTCTTCCAAAACCAAGAGTTCCTTATCCTCGTTTCTCTCGTTTCTCACAGAGAGAGCAGAGGAGTTATGTGGACTTGTTGGTTAAATACGCAAAATTTCCTGCAAATTCCAAAGCTGTTGGAATAAATAAAAATGACTACTTTCAGTATTTGGTATGTATTCTATTCTTCAGCTTCAGAAAAAATGTTTAAAATTAGGAAATATTTTTATTTAAAATTTGCATTTATGTTTTTAGGTATGGTCATATTTTTAAAAATGGAAAATTTAAGTTTAATTGACAGTATTGGTGCTTTAATTCTTTTGTTGGTTCTATTATAGTTCAGGCATTTTGCTCTACTTCAGAGCATGTCTCACTTCAGTTGATCTTAAGTACTAGCAGTAGAACTTTACATAGCTTATTGTACCAATTTTTAATTATTGCTTAAGTATTACTTCAATTAAGAAGTTTCCAAATTCTCAGTTATATAAATGGTGCTGTACCAAACATCTTTGTATGAAAATCTTTGTTCATATCTCTAGGATTGTTTCCTTAAGATAAATGCATAAAAATTAAATTGCTAGATCAAAGACTGTGCACGTTTTTAACACATTGATCTATAGTAATTCACATGAGTAAATTGTTCAGCAAAAAGTTTAAACCAGTTTGTTTGTACCACTATTTTAGGAAAGTTCTTTAAAAAAAAAAAAAAAACAAAACAAAACCTATCTTCACCAATACTGGGCATTATCTTTTTTGCCTCTAATTCGAGGCAAAATAAGGGAAAATGACCTCTTTACATTAATTTAATTACATTGATTACTAATG